CTCACGCGGGTCTCATCCAGTAAGGGGGGGGGGGGGCATTTGTGATGCAACGTCTAATAGCTGCCCTCACCCCCCACCCCCTGAACTGGCTTCACTCCCCCTGGCTCACGGGGTCCCGTACTTCGAGAAACCTGTGCGCCAGGGGGAGTGTAGGCAGTCTAGGGGGGTGGGGGGTGAGGGCAGCCACTTGATGCCCCCCTTACTGGATGAGACCCGGTTACTCATCTCCACAAATGGGCTGAGTTTTAAGCAATGAAAGACTAAGCCGCGCAATGAGAGCGTATGAAGCGAGGCAGTGCAACAAATGAGAGGGTGCCAGACAACAGTGTGATAAAAGAAAAAAGTTACAGCCACTGCAGCTTACTTTGCAAGGCTCGAGCGCTCTTGTCGGTTGGTTTCCGTGCACGGAAATGCCACAATCTGTAGTTACCCGTCTTATGGGGTCTTGCTTACTACAGATCGAATTGGGGCACTTGGTTCTACAGCACTTCTGCAATGGACTGCGCCTTTAAGCTCTTTTGAACAATATTTCCGAGCCTGTTGTTCCACCTTTAGAACAAATAGTTGGTTCATTTGAGTGCTTGTTCCATGTTTGATAAATATTATACTCAATATAAATACAAATTTTCTTGTATTGTTCTCTAATAATAAGTATTTCAGTCAACTGCCGAAGCCCTTCTGCCCTTCTGTCGCCACTGCGTTCATTTGGCAATCCTCTTCAAACACCACTAGTGTTCTGGCAAGGCTGTATGCAACGATGTCCAACGTTGGCCAGTCTGGCCCTCGAACTTCTCTCCATTCCTACAGCCACGGTGACCGCCGCGTCACTTTTGGCCTCACGTGGTGCATCACCATTCCAGAAACCGGATCCGATTCCAATTCTCTCGCATCTCGACAAACCGGAAAAACTCGATCGAAATTTATTACTTAGATTTAATCGGAATTTTATACATAAAGCTTATTAGTTAGAAATACTAGTACTTGATGGTGTCTCTCATATGTCGAGCTCCATCTCTATTGCACGACCTAGTTCGGCTTCTCTCTTGTGCATTCTTCTTAACTTTATTAAATGTTGATTTCTAACATCTATTCATCCACGATTACGGTAGTCATTAGAAGAGTGTTTATTGATTATTATTGATTTATTCGAGACTTTGTCATTTATGTATTTGTGTGTGTATGAGTGCGTGTGTGTGAGTATTATGTGTGCACCTGAATCTTTGTCTTATGCATTTTTCTGTCGCACTATTGCATTACCGTATACCCGTCTATATAAGCCCCCCTCTTCACCTCTTAATTGTTCTTACGCCGTGCAGAAACGCTTTAATTATCTTGCCGATTGTCTCCCGACCCAAATCCATACTGATTGATAGTTATCGATTTTTTATTACAGAAATATTTTATTGATTTCTAGAAGATGTCTAGTGTTCTTGACTGTTGTGTATTTTTCATTCATACGTTCAACTCGTATTTATTTCTTCATTTTTTTATTTGTTCATTTATTCACAGTGCAATACCGATATAGTCGTTCTCTGAACCTGTGATGTTGTTCTTCCCTCCCGACCTTCTACCCGCTCTATCGCCGTCTTCACCAGCGTATACCGGCAATCGGCAAAATTCTTTCTACAAATATTGCTATGTTCCCATTTTTGAGAAAGAAAAGAGGAAAATAACAGAGAAATCACGACAGCGCACGATCTGGCCAATCACACTCATCGTCGATCGATGAACGCACCAATCACGAGCCATCTGTGCCCCGAGTCCCATCTGGATTCTACCAATCGTGCCTGTTCTAACTTATAATGCTGAGTTCAGAAAAAAAAATTCGTTATACTATTTTCCGCACTCTTAGCACTCTGTTGACATTCTTATAGCCGTGGATCGCTTGTGATAAATCGGTTACGTTCATTTGTTTGACGTGCTAAACCGGATTACCGACAAACTAGTTCGGTTTCTTGGAGGGAAAAATTTTCCTACAGTAAGGACGATCGTGTGGGTCCGAGACCAAAAGTTGGGGCATCTTTATCAAAATGCGGCGGAACAGCTCTCAACCAAATTCAGTTTACTCCGACTATGCCTGAAAACAACGCTACAGATGAAGAAACGGCACTGCTAGGTTAAGCTAGAACCTACAGGGCCACTTCTTACACCGTTAGTATCCGATCAAAAGTTTTGGTATATGAGATGATGGCCTGATTGAGGAACTAACTCGTGGTTATATAAGCTCGACCGACGTGATTAATTCACTCAGGACTGTGGCTGAAAAGAGTACTGCCCGACAGAAGTTGACAACCGGTCCACGACAGTTCCATAATTGATGAAGAGAGCGATTCAGTCTACCCGGTTTCAAGATCGTATCCGTATCCAGCGAGTCAATGGAAAGCTCAAGAATTGGCTAAATAGTGCCGTATTTTGGACTCGGCTTGGGATGAAAAAAAAATTTGGTGTAGTGGAAAAATTTCTAAAAGAAACGTGAATTTTGGAGAATATCAGTAAAAATTGTTCTGATAAGACTTCGTATTATTGGATGTCGGCCAGGCAATCAGCGGAGTGGTTAGAAACACAATCGTGGAGGTTGAAATAATATGTGGATGATGTAGGCTGCTGACTAGGGTGTGGAGTAAGGGTGCACAGGTATATGATTTCGTTGCATTGTGTTAGATAGAGATAGTACGTGCCAGATCGCTTCAATGATCCAGGCAGTGCTGTACTGAAAAGCGGGCCGAACCATAATGTTTTTTTGTGACTCAACACGAGCAATTGGCAGTTTGTGTGGAAGAGGAAAACCAGGCGGGTGGCACAGGGTGGGCAAAAATAATTACGGTAACAAAATAAAGTGTTCATGGAAAAGCAATGCGGCCTGGAAGACACACGTGGCCACCAGCAATGTATTCATAGGAACTTATCAAACAGAATACAACATCATTTTTTGGACTGGCCGCTCTCTGTGTTTATATCTGCGTGAATTCATTTCGGAAACGCATCGGGCCTGTTGTGTAGGTAGGTGACATCGAGCTTTCCCTGGGATCTTCTTTAATTCATCGATTGTTTTAGTGATACTTGTAGCAGTCCATCGTCTTCAGTAGACTCCACTGAATATAACCCACTTGCTTTGAAACAGGAGAATAAGGTTGGCACCCGTTTAATGTCATGAATTTGGGAAAGTTCTGTAAAACAATTATTGCACAGTATTTGCTTTGTACACGCGATCTATCTTGCTGGCTGATGTGTCCAATGATTTCTCTCCGCGGTCTGTTCAGCTGATGCATTTATTCGGTTCAAAGGGAACAGAAGGTGTTTTGATAGTGCTCTTGTTACCGTAATTCTTGCCCACCCTGTACGCGCTCGGCAGGCTTGACGTGGCGGAGTTTCAAATGCGATGGCAGAATCTGACGATAGTTTCGAAAGATGTGCGCTTGCGAAAATTATGAGCTGTCCAAAATAGGTGGAGAATTCAACACGATGGACAACTCTGCTATAAGGCCGAGCAGGCGGCAGCAGGGTCAAGCGTGCGTTGAGGAATCCTCGACATGTTGGGGGGGGGGGGGGTCGTATTGGCCCGCTGGGGAGAGAGATCGGGCCCGATTGATGCAGTAGGATCATCGTCGGAGGACAAACATCAAGGATCGAGTCGATGCCAGGCCAGAGTATTTCCAATAACAATTGATTCCGCCCACACAAAATCTTCGTGATTTAGAGGTGTCCGCTTAGCAATTCTTAGTTACTTCAGTGTTTTATCACCACACAAGTTAAAGAATCCGAAATTCGCACGTTTTCCAAGGGATATTTTATCTTTCAAGTGAGTCCTCAATCTGAAGGGATGTGAAGCACACGGCGCATCCCAGAGTGGGCCCAGTTGGTTGCGCGCGCTTCTACGGCTCTCTGGAGAAAGAATCTCAATTCAGGAAAAATCAAGAGGATTCTGAAAGGGTTCATGTGAAATTACAGGAGGAGTACACCATTCAACAAGAAACGCAGCCTTCAGCGTCAAATTCACAAGCATGTAACCTTAAAGTTGAGACCGCTAAACAATTTTACACTTTTGGAAAGAGAAAAGCACGAGGATTCCGAATCTGCTCCTACTTTAGTATGTAATCGCCCCTGAAAGGAGCTATAGTCGTTGAAATAGTGCTAATGCAGCGAAAAAGTACCTTTCGGCGGTACTCGGGCAAAAATCCTCAACGTGGCCATTTTTTAAATAGTGAACGTATTTAGCAGTTTTAGTAATGTTGGAGAAAGAGCAAAGAGCAAATCTTATGATGACGTATTAACTTTTCAGATTGGATGAATTTGAACGCAAGTTGTGGCTTCGGAAAGTGTAAAAACTCGTGCTCATCATCGAATTTTCCTCGTTAATTGATCTTGTTATTTCTTATAACTTTTTGTAATTTCACTGATTAGAAAAAGCTCTTCACAAAACTTCCAAATCTGCTTTCAGATTGAAAATTCGTCATATTTGAAGAAAGTTATAATCATTTGAATATTTGTTCAAATTTCAATAGTAAATAAGCTGCTCCACGGTCAACGCCAAAGTCAGTCAACACACAGCTGGCGAAGGCGGTTACAAGGCTTCTTTCAACTGAAAGGGGGACGTGTAAATTGAGAACCATACTCTGTGTAGTACTAGAATTTGGTAAGTCTTGTGAAGGAAATAAATAAAGAAGAGATGTTGTCATAGTATGCCATTTTTAGTGACTAGTTTGTCGTTTTTTGCTCCGTTTCTCGTTTGCTCGTTTGGTAGGACTCATCAATAATGATCATTCTTTGACTTTTTCACTTTTGTACTTCTTAAACGAATTTTTTGGTGGACGGTGGGGTAGCAGGGCTTTTTTATGAACAGTTTTGGGGGAGAATTAAACAACCTTTTCATAGTTCGGCTTTTGAAGGCATCAGAAACCAATCCGTTTCTCATAAACATCGTCTTCGTTAGGTTCAGCTGTAGACCAACCTTACCACAGGCGCAGTCGAAATCAGCCAGCATTCGCTCCGCTTGCTCGATGTTCGGCGTTATAAGAACGATGTCGTCAGCAAAACGAAGGTGGTGGGGTGGGTAAACAATGGTACGAGCCAAATTTTCGCACCCTATGTGCGAAGTGACCTCATTAAGGCTGACGGCTTAGGGTCACAACACCACCCAGACTTCTCTAATAATCAGGTAAAACGCAATTAATTGAGGAAACAAATCATTCATAATAATAGTTAAAAATACTAATTTATTACGCAAATTCATAAACATAATACAGTCTATGTAGTCTTCCAGGGGCGGAAGTGGTGTAGTGACAAGTGGCGCGCTTACCACGCGAGCGGTCCGGGGATCAAATCCTGGGTCGTGAGTCGCCCGGGCCAACCAAGCCTTCCATCCCTCCGGGGTCGGTTAATTGGTACCAGACTTGTCTGGGAGGATAAAAACACTGACTTGTACATCGGCTGGCCCCCGCAAGTCATTGTATAGGCCACATCGCATTCAAACGCCACTACGAATGTACAAATGGAAGTAGAATGCGTGCCGCATCCCAAAAAGGGATTGATCAACGGCAAATGCTTTATCCTTTATCCTTTATGTAGTCTTCCATTCCCCTTTTGCACCGCAAATCCTTAAATGGACCACTCATCCAGGTGCTTTCTAAATAGTGAAGGAATTCCTGACACTTTATATAATCAAGTGTTGCTGGGGTGGAAAATGTGTGAGGGGCCAAATAAAACGATAAGAGGTTTGAAACCCCAGAGAAACT